TTACCGCACTATTGGGCCCCTTATTTGGGCATTCACCTTGATTCGTTCAATTGGATTTCGTTCTTTGGGCTGTCTGATTTGGGAATCCTCCAATTGGACTTTACTCTCTGGGCTGTTCGATTTGAGCTGAATTTTTATGTGTCAACAATTATCCTTCCAGCTTGTCCCAGACAGGCGGAATCCTTGGTTAGTTATAAACTCAATTAATACAAATACAGAATTCAATTCTTGATAAAATGAAATGGTTAAAAAATAAAAAATGAGAATCTATTTATTTGCTCCATCTATTTGGGTTTTTACTAAGGAACCTGGAGTTTATCATCATTAGTCATAATTACCTACTTGAAAATTTTCATTATTGCTCGCCAACCTGCCATTGATCCACTTGCTACCAAACGTCCCTGGCAGCGGAAATCAAATCCCTTATCATGAAAAAAAGAAAACACACAAAAGCAATGCATATATTCCATAGTAGCCACACAATGCAAAACCATCATGCCATTTTCTGCCTTTTCATTTTTTTCATTTTCGATCATTCTACGCATATGGATGAAGGAATGAACTCAATTTCTTTTAACTAAAAGCATAAATGAGAGCACGCACAATCAGATACTCGATTCTTTAGCTACAAACACGTGAAGAATAATCCAGATGTCTTCAACAATAGCCAAAAAGACATGATCAGGACGGAAAGAGAAGATTTCAGCTAAGTAAAACCTTGCATCTTAAGAAAAATTACTACTTCGGACTCCAACATCAACAGTCTCTCCTATGTACTCAGAACCATACTTCGATCCTATCCAACGTAGTTCAATCATACTTCAATGCTGAGATCATATTCTAGTCTTTCTATTCCTCTATATTGTGTAACGCCTTCAACTAGTTGGAAGGAAAGTAAGATCCTTAAGACACGATTTGAATATAAGTATAGAACCGAAAAGATATTTTTTATCAATGATTATCATAGCTAAATCTAATGGTAGCATATAGTTTCGGAGGGCAGATCATAAATCTAGTTCTGGTGGACTTCGTCTTTAACTCTGTTATTTTTACTGAGGTGGAGGAATTGGATCGGAAAAAAGAGGGATTCTAGTTGTAAGATCTCAATGTTTGTGATAGTTCTAAACCTAACTGAATATCTATCTCTTGATCACTTATTTCGCATACAATGATCATTCGCCATTCAAATTCATTGAAGCCAAATCTGAGTCCGTTCCATCATTGTATAAATGGGTACTGTGTCAAATGGATGAATGGAGATGCAAAGGAAAGAAGAACCTAGCCTGCCTCCTATTATCTCGGTAATCATGTTTTATTTGGCCAGTCATGTACCCAACAAATTCTCATTTTACCCTTCTCGTGGACGAACTTGTTAACAGACTTGTTAGAATAGATGCAGATAGATGTCATTAATGTAAGAAACCTAATGTCAAAGAAGTCAACCAATGCAATACCTGAAAAGTTAACCATAAACCTAGTGCTTTTAAACAAAGATGAATTTCACATCTGCTCGTGGCTGAACTGTGGGTGATGGTTTAGCGCAGCAGGATGCTATCACGCAAACTAACCTTCTTGCATCAACGTGATCACATGAATATCAACATTTATATATTTGAGCAAACTTAGGTAATATTTAAAGCAAACTACTTGGTCAAATGCAAATCAAATGCTAATTAAGCCTTCCTGACAAGTCCACCAACAATTCAGTTAGAAGTCATGCTCATTTCAGTGAACATTTGTCACATAGACCTGAATCACAAAGTGAACATACTAATAGTATAGACTATAGTACCATGTAACAATGGATGCTAAAGCTAATAATGCCTTCAAAAAGAAATAATTAAATAGCAAAAAGACACAAATTAAAGGCTGAAAGTGTAAGAAAAGCAAATCCTTACATCTCAAGAAATATACAGATTACAAAGGAATAAGGATAAAGTGAGCTTAAAACCATGGAAATATTGGAATACAAAATTAGCCACTTCCCCTCTCTTAGTCTAATCAAATTCCAGCAACATAATCGAAAAGTAACAAAAGAATCACCCACATCCGAGTTCTCCTTCATTCTTTATGTTTCTTTTTTAATTTAATAATATGATATATAAATTAAATCTAATCTCAAATCAGAACTCCGATAATTTTCCTGAGCTAAATGAAACAATAAATCATTTTGGGTCTAAATTATTTACAACATTTGGACAAAAGAACCAAGAAAACAATGAGAAAGACAATTGAAGAAAGCCCAATTGCAACACCAAGAACAATCTTACTTGGCCCATTGGAATGATGCTTTTCTTCAACATTACTGTAATCTTCATCATCAGAACTGTCGCTAGTATCATCATCAGATGAGTACTTAGCAGGTGGTGGAGACATAGGCAACCCATGTTTGTCACAAGGAGAAATCCCAAGCTTTACTTTTGAGCTCAATGTCGAATGGTTATAACAAAGATTGGAATTGTCACCCACCTTGAACACTTCCAATCTCTTTATAAATGTTGCATTGAAGGGCAGAACTCCATGGAAACTGTTCTTCTCAAGATTTAAATACTTCAATTTCTTCATGTCCTGTATGAACTTTGGGATAGTCCCGTTGAGCTTATTAGACCCTAGATCGAGGCACATTAGACCGGGCACTGCTGCTAAGGATTCCGGGATCGATCCCGACAATGAGTTTGAAGCCAGTGAAAGATTCTGCAGAGCATTCAAGTCCCCAAATGTAGTGGGAATTGTTCCGTTGAGGGAATTTGATGACAGATTCAAGTGTCCAAGATTTTCTAGGCGTGTTAAGGAAAGGGGTATCTTTCCTTTGAGATTGTTTCCCGATAAATCTACAGTAGTGAGATTCGGATGCCAATGTTTTGGGAGATAGCCAGTGAGATTCGTGTGTGAAAGAGTGACAGAATGCAAGAATTTCATGTTGTTGAGGATAATGGAAGGGCCACTAGCAGTTATACTCACGTGGGAAACAGTTAAATCGGATACATTTTGTAGCCTGCTAAGCCAAACCCCGGTGAGTTTCTTGAGGCTGTTGATGCAAGTAAAGGAATGGAGATTTGAGGTAAGTTCATAGGGGAATCTAATTGGGGAAACGCGGCAGTTGATGAACTGGAGAGTGTGGAGAGTGGAGAGGGATTTGAGGGCAGTGAAAGATAAAGCTACGTCATCTGAACAGTTGGTGAGTGTGAGAGAGAGGAGGTGGCGGAAGGGCTTGGAGGAGTCACAGGCGGCGGCAGTGGAGATGTGGCGTGGGGCGGAGCAGGGGTCTTTGGAGGTTGGGATATTTAGGGACTGGAGGGCTCTGAGTTGTTTTGGGTCAAGGGTAGATGTGGAAGTGGAAATAGGGGTGGTGGGTGTCTTGGGAGTTGGGGCAGTAGAAGGGTTGGGGGCAGAGGGGGAATGCGTGGGGGAGATAACGGTGCCATTGGTGGTAGGTGTCTTGGGAGTTGGGGCGGAAGAAGGGGTGGGGGCAGAGGGGGAATGGGTGGGGGAGATAGCGGTGCCATTGGTTGTGGGAGGATGAGAAAGGGAGGAGACGACGGCGACAGCGGAGAAGTGGAGGAGGAGAAAGCGGAGGAGTAGTGGATGTAGAGCCATTGTTGAAACCTTCGTTTATGAAAATGGAAAAATGGTGTCAGAATTAGAGAAGTGGGTTCTACTTCGTAGTTTGTACACTCAGAACTGAATATGATATCTACTTTTATTTTAAGTGGGGTAACGGACAAATATAATGACTAGTGAGAGTTATTTATTGGGTAAAAAATCTGAACGGTCGATTTTGATAATTTTTTTTGAACATTCATCAATTCATAGAATTGACTCAAAAAAAAATTATGCCCCATTTTGGTTCTCATTAATTTTCATTTCTTTACATTTTATTTTTTCTCTAATTTTCAATCATACAATCTTTCATAAAATAATATTGCACGTAAATCGAAAAAATTCTTTCTTTTTCGACTACTCATTTTTTTTAAAAAAAATATATAATTCTACCCATTTTCATTTCTACAAAATACAGGCCAAACGGCGGCGATTGCACAAACTACACTACGTGTAAAAAAGTGCAAACTCTAAATTGAACTTCAAGAATCCGTTTACTTCAATAGTCCATTATAAAACACATTAGTCCCAAAATGTAGTCTTTCAAAAGTCACTAACGGGCATCTTACATGAGTGAAGAATTGATGATATGACACTCTATTTTATATTACTTTTGACACCTAGCCCTTGATTGATCTTCACTATTTTCAAAAAATATTTTTCTTTTTATTATTCTTAATCACTCATTTTTAAATCGCGGATTATGCATCAACTGGATTACAGGTTCCTCCCACCACCTGTACACTTTTGCGTACAAGAGATTCTTCTCCAAAATGATTGTTCCATATCAAATAAATATGGCCGCAGGTTCCTACCAGGATTCGAACCTCCACCCTGCCGCTGAAAGCAAGACAATGTTGATTGATCCACCAGTTGAGCTGTGCCCCGGGGGCCAAAATATATTTTTCTTCCTATTCTTCTTAATCACCCATTCTTCAATAAAATAATACTATATGCAAATAAAAAATTTGTCATTATTTTTTAATCACACATTTTTCATCAATCTACTATTTCAAAATGCGTTCTTAAAAATAATAATAATTAGGCTCAAACAAGCGCTTAATATGCAACAAGGATAATTTGCACTTTTTTTTTGAAAAATATGTTCTAATTGTACTTCAAAAAAATGATTGTGATTTTATTTTTATTGGCTTATTAGATGTCAAAGTAATAAAGGCAGTGTTCTAAAATGCAGGCATATGCTCAATACATTTTTGAAACGCCTCACATATAGTATATGCGGGTGATAATACGGTCAACTCATTTCGTTTACTACATATACATGCTTCAACGCCAGAATGCAAGTGCATTTGTTTTAAAATTAGCCTAAGAAAGTCCAACACATTTTTATAATTTTAAAAATGCAAATTGAGTCTAACAACTATCAACCAAAATCACCCAAGGCTGTGAATTATATAAATGAACGTGAGGGGTTTTGACATTTGACCAAAAAATAATAATAATAATAATAATAATAATAATAATAATAATAATAATAATAATAATAATAATAATAATAATAATAATTCATAGAGTTATAAACTCTCTATTTTTTATTTATTCAATTTTATTTATTTTTATTTTTTACCTGTAACTTATTTTATCAGCAATTATATAACAAAGTCAGACAATTTCACAATTTGGAGTTGCAACCCTTCGTAATTCTACCATATAACATCTTATATTAACTAGGCAATCATATATGTAAGATAACAAATAATTTTAAAACTCTCTTTAATTTTCAAATTTATCCAATTCAATATAGACTTTTGACGCATGACTATTTTGCAATGATCTAAAAAGCGCATTTAGACAATGCTTGACATCATCTAGATGACAAGTGTAATTTATACACTTATTCGGGGCTTTAAATAATAACATTTTGTAGTTCTTTCAAAAATATGGGGACTAAAATGTAAATATTCAAAAGTTGGTCAGATTGTAAGACGGCGGTTTAAGAATGCCATTGGTCAATTGGAGTTAAAAAGAAGTCAAAGGGATGAGAAATTGTTGAAAATAATCAAAATACACAGTGAGAAAGTTTAGCGACCAATATACAATTTGATCCAAGAATGGCAACACAAGCCTATAAGTACAGTCAAACCTTCTTTGGATGGATTGAGGCTATTTGGTGTCTATTGTGTACACTCACTTTGAATCATGCGTACGCGTGGTTCAATTCCGAAAAGAAATTGTATTTTCTTATTTTATTTTTGAAACTTTTGATATACAATTTTTTTTACTCTATATATACCATAAGTAGTCCGAAACGTAGGGGAACTCCTTAGATTTAAAAATTCATAGGTTCTAATCAATTTTGAAGGTAAAGAACAAGGCTAACAACTTGGAATCAAGGCTAATTGCATAGGATATTGAAGATCCTTCATCCAAATTCAAGATTCACATCAAGAACGTGGAAAATCCCTATTTCTTCTTTCCAAGCGATGATTTTGCAATTGTTCTTTTGTAATTTAATTCTAAATATGTTATACTAGGTTTTCAATTGTATTGAATGAGTGTTTGAATCCTATTTTTCATTTATATCAATTCAAGACATTAATTTAGGAAGTTCTTGTGTTATTTGATTGATTTTACATATTCATTTTACTATTTGGTTGTTAGACCATCAATTAAATAGTTAGTTGCTTGTTGTAGTATAAGAATACTCACGATAAATCTAAAACTTAACAAAATAAACATGTGTAGTTAGAATTAGGAATAATTTCTTTCAAACATGCAATCTTATTGATAATCTAAACTAGATGTATGACTTTCATATGATTTCAAACTAGGAATAGGATCGTCTCGTGTTAGTCATAGATTGGTGTATATTGAAAAAGAACATTTCATATATTAGCTGTATAAGGTATCAAAATTACATGAATGGAATAGATTAATTATCGAGAGTTGAAATAGATGGAAATAAGGGGATACATGCATACAAGCATTCAGATAGATAAAAACATCATATTTACTTGCATTCTTAGAGTAAAACTTAGTTTAAATAACAAAAAAACTCAATTCTCTTTTGATATTACTACACTTTGAATTTGAAAAAAAAAATATTGAAATACAAAATATACCTCATTCATCGTGGAAATGATACTTTTGAAATTTTATTATTTATACAACAATCCCATACGCTCGAGGGATTATCTCGAATACTAGACGCATGGTGCAAACAAAACATTTGCATTGATAGTAAGTGTGAGTTAAAAAATTAATTACTAAGTTGACCGCTCAATGCACGATTAAGCGAGCCTAGGTAGCTTTATTCATTTTATTTATTATTTTTCCATTTTTAAAATAAGCTTTTATTCGATTTTAGTTTATTAACCCTTTTATTTATTTTTATTTTTAAAGGTTTTTATTTGACATTAGTTTTAGGTTTTTAAATTAATTTATCTGATAAAGATTTAGATAAGATTTAAGTTACAATACTATTTATATTATATAATTATGATTTTGAGACTTATCGTTTTGTCGAAAATTCTAAATTTATATATGAAATTCTTATAAATCTATTTAGTAGAATTTGTCTAGATAAAAGTTAAAATTATGAAAAATAGTCTAATTTTTACAATTTGAAAACGTGATGATTGTATAATTGATTAATTGAAGGAATTATTAAGTAAATATAGTATTTTATAATTTTACATGTTTGATATGTTTTATTTTAATTATTAAATAATGTTTAGAATGATTAATTATTTAAAATAATAATAATAATAAGTAATCTCCTTTTATGCCTAGGTCACGATTAAGCTTGCCTAGTAAAGTTCGAAACTCATCCTGTACGTCTAATTACGCTTTATGTTTTTTAAAATGCTGTTATTTTGAATAGCCTCAAACACACAATTCCTCTTAGGATTAATTAAGGATGTCAACGAATTGAGTTGAGCTGGCTCAAGAGTCAAAACTTGAGGCTCGGGCTTGGCCCGATTGAAAATGCTTCGAGCTTTTTTCACCCAAGCCCAAAAAACTTAGTCTTGACCTGAGCTTTCTACTTGACCTTATTGAGTCGAGTCGGCTCATGTTTTTTTTAATAAAACACAGGCAACCACACAGGCAGCTACTTGCCTGTAGTGTCATTTCAATTTGATTCTTTTAAGGTTGGTTCGTCCATGTTCGAAAATGGACAGAGTCGACGAGCCACATGAGCCGAGCTCAAGCCGACGCTTCAAAATGGGGCTCTGCCTAAGTTTCGAGCTGGGCCAACTCGAGCTTTTTTCTGGTCGAGCTACGAGTAGCCAAAGTCGACGAACCAAATTGACACCCATAAGATTAATAGTAGTGCGATATACCTTCCCATTTATTGGAAATCGCAGAAAATCCCTTGTTTGAATCCTTTTGTGCAAAAATCTTCGTACCGTCAAAATTCGTCGTTAGAACAGTAAAAAATGCTAAAAAGATTTCAAATTGTATGTAGCGTGTATAAAATTTTAGGGCAATTAACACAAAATGCTATTATTTTTCAATGTTATTGTACAAAACATCCATGACTTTCATTTTATAACACTTTTATCCTTACCTTCACATTTTATTGTGGAAATCATCCTATTCATCAATTTTTCGTGTAAAATGACAAATATACCCTCTATTTAAATAAAACAATAAAAAAGAAAAGAAAAGATAACGATAAAGAATAAATTTCAATTATAATCCCAAACTTTAAAAAAATGCATTTAAGTCCAAATACATTATTAAAATAAATAATTAACACAAAACGTTCACACATTTCATTATTATTGTGCAAAACATTCATACCTTTCATTTTATTTTTTTAAATTTTCATCATTATTTCATATTTCATTACGAAAATCGTTATTTTCATTCATTTTCTCAATTAAAAGATATAAAATGACAAATATACACTCATTTTTAAATAAAAAATAAAGAAAAAAATTGCAACTATTTTTTTTTAAAATCTTCAAAAAAGCACAAAAAAATAATTGAAAAAGAAAGTGACTTTTTTTTAATTATTTATTTTAAATTTGTTTGTACTTTTTTCGAAAAATTATAGCCGCAATTTGTTTTTTATTGTTCTA